ATAAGAATATAAGTGTAACAATATAAACACAAAAGCCATGGATAACACTGTTTCAGCATTTTATTTGTAATGAGTTAGATATTATTATTATTATATGTATAAAAAAACAGTATATCTGACTGACGATGATGATAGTGATGATGAATTTCAAGTAAAGATTCCGGGGCCCTAATGCATTTTTCTTTGCTTTTTTGATGCATCAGGACTTTCTTTCTAGCTCTCTTGGTAAGTAGACTAAGATGATGTTCTTTAACCTAAAAGAGGCACTTTGCATAGGCCAACCATTACATTTACTTGCTCAGAAAGAGAGCAAAACAGACAGACAGAGAAAGATAGTACTGTGGTTATAAGTTATATTGATTTTAGGCCAGCGCCAGAAAAAGGACGAGGAAGCGTCAGCTGACTGTGACAAGAAAGTGGAAGAGAAGTTCTTCAGTCGCAGGCAGAACATGGACTTCATTGACCTCCTGTGGATGGTGCTCATGAGTACGGAATGACTTCTTATCATTTTTGTTTTTAATAGTGTTTCTATGTTTATTATCCTGACCCTATTTCTTTTTCTTTTCCTTGCTCATTATTTATTTCTTTGACTTCCTCTTATTTTCTGCTGAGTATCTTTTATATTTTTTCTTCTTATTCTTCTTTTTTCTGCTCTTGTTCTCCACTTCCTTTGAAAATTGTTCATTTCTTATCTGTATTTATGTGATGGTTATGAATATGATATGTTTATAGATTAGTATTTTTAATGGTTACTTTTTTCTGTAATTATTTATGTACATTTTGTGTTTTCTATACCCTGTCATCCATTTGGTAATTTTGTAAATTTCTGTCTCAAGGCTTGCCACTTTGGAACCTTCCAGGGCAGGCAGTGGCAATTTCTTAATTTGTTTTTACATCTCTTTCTGTTTACCTGCATATGTCTAGTATGAAAATTTAGCTAAATTGATATGAATAAAAAGAAAAATATTATATTGTCCTACACTGAGCTATGAGTATATACTATATACTGGTAGAATCAGAGTTTTTGATGGGTGGACAAAACTAATTACACAGTTTTTGAAGAAATAGGGAAATATGGCTGGTTGCCAAGACAGTATTGCCGTTGTCATTAAGCAGCATTTGAACATATTTGTTTATAGAATTGCCAGTTACTATATTTGTATATATAAGTACCCTAATTTAACATGAAAACTTAAATTTTTTATTTACATGTATAACTTTTTTGGTAGGAATTGTGTTAATCACATGAAAGAATAGATTTAATTTAGTTATTCAGTATCATAATAAATTCATTTTTATCCACCATGTTCCACATTGTGCATGGATTAATCTATGGCTCTTAATATTCAGCATCTTAATTTAATTGAATTCCTTCTGTACTATATATAGTGTATAAAGATGAAACTCTCTTCCCACAGAGTGTGAGTCTTACCAGGAACTCAAAGAGAGTCTTGAGTTTATCTTCAAGGCAGTTGTAATGGGTCAAGTGAGGCCACAGATTCATGTGCGGAACAACACCCAGGTTGGCTTTGCTATTCTTACATTTTTTATTCTAATTGTGTCACTTGTTTCTTCTATCATGGATAATGATAGTGATAGTAATTAGGAAGTATAGTTTGATGAGAAAGCATACATAATTATTAGAATGATGACCATAATGGCACTATAGATAAGAATAACAGGTTACCCTCTTGTAGGTTGGAAACTTAGTGCGCAGTCTGATGAGGGGCCAGGCAGACCTACCGGAGCTGACGGGTCTCATGCCTCTGAACATGCTTATTGAGATGGGCATTGAGAAGATCAAGAAGGATTATATTAATATATTTCAAGGTGGAGCTGTAGTTGCTTTTCTTATTATTTCTACATCTTTCACGAACCTTGTGGTTGACTTTTGTTCTCTTGTTGAAAGGAGAAATGAGGAATGGATATTATATTGAAGAGGATGAGACTCTTACACTGATAAATATATTATCTCTTGGATGTCAAAGTATTGGATATTCCGCTGTTTTTGGGACCTGGAAATATAATCATGCATGAACAGTATGTATCTCAAGGAATCTTGATAAAGGTTATAACAAAGAATGATTGATTCTACAATGCAAAATACGAAATTGACTTTTGATAGTACCTGTCAAAATGTTAAATGCACATCTTGCATGGTGAAATTATTGTCACTCATACTCTATCAATTGTGAATAGTCATCAACAAATATAGTACAAGTGCTGCACCATGAAATCTCTGTCACTCAAAGTATATCCATCATAATCCACTGTTTATTCCACAGCGGGTGATCTGGCCACAGGAGAGCAGCTGTCATGGTTCGTGGGTTACACTGACTGCATGGAGGACTCAGTTATGCAGCTAGAGAAGCTCCATGTGGCCCTACAGGTTGTTGTGCTCCTGCACACCTACCTCAACCTACCATCCTCAGCCCTCGTGCAGTTTACGGCACAGGTGAATAGTGTGTGTATGTGTGGGGGGTAGGGGGATCTCATAATGGGTTTGTTATTATGATGATAATCATAATTGTTGCTGTTGATGATGAAGTCAGTATTGTATTATTGCTCTTCTTCCAACTGAAGGATATATTCTGAATAAATATCATATACTTTATCTATGTCTTTCTCAAATAATCACTGAATTTTTACAATACTTATGTTAGATGTATATCATTATGTTATGTTTGTTGTGTATATATTTAATTTTTTTATGTAACTTCTTTTTGATGCTATGGTATTTTGTCAATTACAGGCTCTGAACCAGCTGAAAGAAGGCCTCTCGTCACCTTACTCATTTAGCTTCAAACTCTCCACCTTCACTGTCCATCAGCTGCTCAATAGGTATGCTTTGTGTCTCATTGCCACCTTTAAGGGTTTTCTAGGGAGGAGGCAGATGAACAAAAGGATCAGTTCTGTTGACATGAAATTTACCATACTAACATTAGAATTTGGAGGACAGGAAGCATTTGACAGAACCAGTAGACGGCACCCAAAAAAGCTGAATAATTATAAAAAGAGTACAAGCAGAACATTCAAATGAAAAAGTTATAGGGTTATCTAAATTTGCTCACCTGAACAGGCCAAGACCACAGCTAATATATCATATGTGGTAAAAAGAGCAAATTTTATTAGAAAAGAATGAGAAGAGCAAATAAATTATAGATACTATGTGACAGACTATACAACTGAAATTATATGACTGTTGCTGTATGCTTTGATTTAAGTCATTTTTCTCAAACACACATTATAAATGTAGATAAATGTACTTAACACATGATAAAAATACCAGGAATGCAAAGTTACATCTCACTGGAAAATAGAAATGATAATGATTAGATAAAGAACTGAAATTTTCCTTGTATCTTCTCAGCCTGAAACCCAGTATGTGGGAGCTTGTCCTGCACAGCACCCACAGCACTTTGGAAAAGACGCTGGTTTGCCACGTCTCGCACCGTCCTCTCATCCAGATGCCGAATGCGCATAATGGTCAGTTGTCTCCTCTTTTGGTGTTTTTCTAATTGAGTGTTGTGGAAATTCAGATGTTTTATGTACGTTTTCTATGTCATATTAGGGTGATTTTATGTCAGGTTTATTGGTAGTGAATCATAAGGAAATTATACAACTAAGTCAGTGAAAGGGAGAAAATCAGATTGTAATATAGTAGCTTATTAGATTGTATTATATATATCTCAAAGTATAAGGCAGAAGTTTCAAGAACCATTTTTCTGTCAGGGATTATATTTGGAAAGAGTTATAAGAGTTGGATCTTTGTAATAGGAAGTTGAGGATGTAAATAGATAGACTGGTTATTACTTTTTTGCTTGTGTGCATAGTTATCGTTTATTTATTTATATATGTCTTCTTTTATGACAGATTTAGAGGAAAGCGCAGCTGACTGTGACAAAGAAGAACCAGAGGGTTTTGAGGAACGCCATTTCTGCACTTTCATCACAACTGTCACAGACAAAATACTGACTTAATACTAATTTAATACTTTCTGTTCACATACCTAAGCACAATATTAACATGTATAGGAAGAAAGTTTTTTGGTCTAGACCCTATATGTTCAAACACCTTTTATTACTATTATTAATGTTTCTATTTTATGTTTTTGTGTATGGTAACTGGGACTGATCTTTCTCTCAGCAGTGGAATGTGATATATTTTTGACTGGATGTGCTTTTATGACTTTAATAAGCCAGGAATGAGGAGATGAAAAAGATGTATATTATATAGTTTCTAACCCATGAAATACTTTTTCTAGCATGAAAATTATATATTTATAACCTTATTGAATTTTTTTATTGTACCTCTTATGTTCAAACAAATGTGGTCAATAGAATTTTTAATTCCTATTGAATGTGACTGATATAAGTAATTCATACCATGGAAAAATGTAGTTTAGATGGATTGTTATTATTATGCATTAGTCTTCTCAGATTTCATTCCACACAGACATACAAACATTCATAGATCACAATTTTTTAGATAAAATTTTGGGCTCGGCTGGTGGTGGGTCTGGATATCATCAGATGCACAGATACCCATACAAAGTATAAAGGTGATATAACATTCTTTGTAATTTGACCTGCCACTCCAGCTGACTACCTGAAAAAAAGGCTTGTGACAAAACATGGTGAATTCAGGAAACTTACAGGATTAGCATGGATATAATGTTTGCATTTGAGACAGGCAAAAGATTTTTTGTTTTGTTTCCACCAATGCATATTTTGGCATGGTGATTGCAAACCTTACTAAATTTCATGTCTGGCACAAGTAATCATGTGAGCATTTCTGTCTACCAACTACTTGTAAAAATGTAAACAATTAATATCATGACTGTTGAACTGCAGCCATTTAGTTGGTTGTCCAATCTTACATGTCATATTGCTTGTTATGTGAGGATTGTGAAAAAAAGCACTAAACAGAATACAGACAAGAAATCTTGACGTCCACTTTCAAAATCTTCGCTACCAACACAATTACTGTGAAAAGTAGTGTCGAAGCTGGGACACATGTGGCTCTGTAATGATAGTGACAAGATCATAATTATTATTATAGTAAACCATACAAAGGGAGGCACAAAAAAAATGAGAATTATACCACCATTATACAGTACGTCAAAACGTAATAAAAACTGATTTGCTAAACTTTTAAACATATCAAGAATCAGAGAAGTTGCAATATCTGAAGGCAATCAATTCCAAAGCCTACAAATAACATTAAAAAATCATCCAGAAAACTGAAATGTAGACGATAAATGGTCTACAATATTTAAAAATGCTACATGGAAATTCTTGCATTGAAGGAAGTGCAGATATAATTTTTAAAAATATCATCATACTTGAGCTAATGAAATACAACAAAATGCAGCTGTTGGTACTAGCTGAGGAGAAAATCGTCCAACTGCTATATAAACTCATTTGTGCATAGTCCTTTTGTGTGTGTGTGTGTGTAAGGTAAAGAGGGAAGAGCAAATGGGTTAGGAAGGTCGTTCAGGTCTGACACAAAGCTACCCTTTCATCCTTTCAACACACCTCTTCCACTTTAGGATGTGGACTGAAGAAGGCAGCAAGCATGGGACTGAGGGGAAATTATTGTCTAATATTTTAAATTGATGCATATTTTTGGCACATATTTTTCCCACATTTCAATAGTTCTGTTTTGAGAAACTGAACTTTATGGCATCTTTATCACCATTTTACTTTCAACTTTTACTATGTACTCATGTCCCTTTAGTGTTCAAAATTATAAAGTAATCTTTATCCACCTTCACTCTTCCTGTAACATAGTTAAACAGCATAATCATGTCACCCTTTTTTCTTCTTTCATTCAAAGTAGTAAGTCCTATTTTCTGTAGTTTATCTTCGCAGCTCATATCTCGTAGAGTAGGTGCCCATCTTGTGGCTGCTCGTTGCACTCTTTCTAATTTGTCTATATCTTTTTTTAAGTGTGTACTCCATACCACTGCACCATAGTCTAGACTAGATCTTATGATGGCTGTAATAATCTTTACCGTATTTTTGTCCACATACATAAATGCCCTCTTCATACTGGCAATCAACCCAAGAATTTTATTTTCATTTATATGATCATTTGAGCTGAAGTTCTTGTTTATGATTATTCCAAGGTCTTTTTCTCTATATGCACCGCAATTTGTATTATTAAAGGGGACGATTTTTACTTTCTGCAAACCTAACTACATGGAATTTGTTGGTGTTGAATTCTATTTTACAACTCCTCACTTTGGAGGCATTGGCATGAGACAGTCAATTGTCTTCATTTTTTGTATACTTGCACTGCCTGCAAAAATATTAAAATAACTAAACAGACTGACGTTTGACCCAAAATCACTGATGAAAATAAATATAATTGGTGCCAAGGTCGATGCTTCAGGTACTTGTATCTATGTATAGTGCTCATTGGTCTTTCATGTTGGAAGTCTCATCTATTCGAGGAGTTTGCCTTTCACTCCACCTAGGTGTTCTAATTTCCATAATAGTCTTCGTCTTGGCACATTATCAAATGCCATCTCTTTCTTGTAATATTTCAGAAACTCATGAAAACATTGTCATAAACAGAGATTTGCTTTACATGAGAGTGTGTGCGTGCGTGCGTGCGTGTCGCGTGCGCGTGTATGTGAAAGAGAGAGAGAGAGAGAGAGAGAGAGAGAGAGAGAGAGAGAGAGAGAGAGAGAGAGAGAGAGAGAAAGAGAGAGAGAGAGAGAGAGAGAGAGAGAGAGAGAGAGAGAGAGAGAGAGAGAGATGAGAGAGAGAGAGAGAGAGAGAGAGAGATGTGTGTGTGTGTGATGAGAGTGTGTGTGTGTGTGTGTGTGTGTGATGTGTGTGTGTGTGTGTGTGTGTGTGTGTGTGTGTGTATGTATGAGTATGTGATTAAGAAAATATTATATTCTGCCATCTTAATCCATATTAATGATGCTCACATGTCAATAATTCATTGCACACTATTTCTGTCAATGTAAATGACAAAGACAAGAAAAGGTGAGTACAAACCGCTTTCCAACAGACTTGATCTATGTGAGAAAAACGATTTGCTAGTATGGTGTGACTGAAATAAATGTTTGATATATATTTATATATTTACAGTAAATATATACAACTTTATTTATCTATTTACAATTATTCTTGATGTTAAACTGAATGAAGTTTATGATTTTATAATGCAAATATTTTAAAGACCTTAGCAAAGATGAATACTGAATAAATATTAAATAGAAGAATGCACATGTACACGCGAATATTATATGCAATCATAAAAAAAAAGCATAAATAAGAGTTATGAATTAAAGATACTTAAACCTGTCTATAATGTATAGACCACATCAGTACTAAAATGCATCCCCATTTGGCAAAACTAATTACATGTGATAATTATCTTCAGTTGTATGAAATACTTCATCATTCATTCACCATGCAAGGCATGAGCCTAATGTTCCGTCAGAAGCTGACTTCCATTTTTAGACCTTTCCGAATCTTAGGC